CACAGATGGAAATAACACACGGAGATAACACACAGATGGAGATAACACACAGATGGAGATAACACACAGATGGAGATAACACACAGATGGAGATAACACACAGATGGAGATAACACACAGATGGAGATAACACACAGATGGAGATAACACACAGATGGAGATAACACATAGATGGGGATAACACACAGATGGGGATAACACACAGATGGGGATAACGCATAGGTGGAGATAACGCATAGGTGGAGATAACACATAGGTGGAGATAACACACAAATGGAGATAACACATAGATGGAGATAACACATAGGTGGAGATAACACACAAATGGAGATAACACACATATAGAGATAACACACAGATAGAGATAACACACAGATAGAGATAACACACAGATGGAGATAGCACACATATGGAGATAACACACAGATGGAGATAACACACAGATGGAGATAACACTTAGATGGAGATAGCACACAGATGGAAATAGCACATAGATGGAGATAACACACAGATGGAGATAGCACATAGATGGAGACAGCACACAGATGGAGATAGCACATAGATGGAGACAGCACACAGATGGAGATGGCACTTGCTTTCGTTGTGATGTGAAAGTAATTCTACCCCCCCCCCCCCCACACACACATACACAATTGCCTCAGAACTCACATATGAAGTTTGATGATTCTGTCTGTTGTAACCGTTTCTCTAATGATGATTTATACAAGTACATCCGTCTCCAGTTCCCCGTCATGGTTTCTTTATCTAACAATGGTTATGAGAAAAACAATATGAAGGAAAGATGATTTAGCTGTTTCCCTGAGATGAAAATCTGCATTTATGAGATGAGAATGGCTATTTGGAGACAAAATTGCATAATCCACTAAAGAAAATGTTATTTTCAGAAATAACAAATAATTCGTAGCTTCGTTGGAAGTTTCATTAAATTTAAGGCACAATTTTTAAGTCTGGTAGCACCATTTAACTTTAGATAAAGTGATTTTCAAAGTAAGCTTGTACGCTCTCTTTTTGTGTGAGTAAATGTTTGGATTAATCTGCCCACAAACTTCCTTTTTATGTAGTTACATTTAATTTTAGTTCAGCATTCAAAATATTAATGTAAATACAATATAAAAGCATGTGTCTGAAGCCTTGGGGTTGTGAACACTGTTTCACGATAACAACATACTAAAGTTTGAGATCAGCACCAGGCAATTCATACGATTAAGAATCAAACAATTCAGGAAGCAATGATATGAGAACCATACCATTCAGGAAGCAATGATATGAAAATTATACCATTCAGGAAGCAATGATATGAAAACCATACCATTCAGGAAGCAATGATATGAAAATCATACCATTCAGGAAGCAATGATATGAAAATCATACCATTCAGGAAGCAATGATATGAAAATCATACCATTCAGGAAGCAATGAAATGAGAACCATACCATTCAGGAAGCAATGATATGAGAACCATACCATTCAGAAAGCAATGATATGAGAATCACACCATTCAGGAAGCAATGATATGAAAATCATACCATTCAGGAAGCAATGATATGAGAACCATACCATTCAGGAAGCAATGATATGAGAACCATACCATTCAGAAAGCAATGATATGAAAATCATACCATTCAGGAAGCAATGATATGAGAATCACACCATTCAGGAAGCATGGCGAACTACTAAATACAAAATTGCCTAGATTAAATCACATAACCACCAATACATTATGGGATTGAGTTGTGATTTCCTGAGGCCATGCGACAACTTCTTAACAATAAAAAGTATATTCTTAAAAAAAAGCTTTAAACTTTTTTGGCCTTCAATATCAATTTTAAAAAAAAAAATGCATCTTGCAATCAATATAAAATATTACCTTATCAATCTTTAAATAAACAATCAGTTCATTATCTGTGAACAAAGAAAACACAAACAGCAAACTGGTTGCCTGCATTACGTCAGGTGCATACCACAGTAATAATTGAATATAACCAAGCAAATAAATAAATCCTTCTAACTGAAATACAAAACTGACTTAATTTAAAAGTAAATATATGTCAACTGACAGTTGATTCTAGAATTTAATTAGAAGGATTAAATTATTTGGTTCATAATATCCAACGGTATTTAGATAAATTATATAACATATGAGGAGGCTTCAAATGAATTCCTTGAAAGGGTGACAGAAATTACAATAAACAATGGTCTTATAACCTGTCAATACTGTTGTTAAGAATGTCAACATTGTTCAGCACATGACATTAGGGTGCAGGTGATCACAGTGATGTCACAAAGAGTTTAACATCCTATTATTATATAATATTTGGTGCCAACAACACTGCAGACTGAATGCTTTTAACAAAAAAGCCATCTGGCTTGTTCCAAAATTAATCAAAACAAAGTTGCTTGGCGGATGGAGAAGTTTGCATGATAGTTTTCATCAAGGTTAATGTCTCGTTATGTAATGTTTTCTGACAGACGGATCAAATAAGAAGAAGAAAAAACCTACTGTTTGTGACTTCTATGTTAAGTTTACAGAAGGAAAACATTGCGTCAATTCATATATATTTATACATGTATCATTGTAACAGTGAATCTGACACAGAATACTGAAATAATGGCTTTCCAAATGGCTGCTGGTAATGCATTTACAAAAGAGTAGCCTAACGGTGCTGCCTGGGTAAAATTTGGATTAAAAAGCTACCCAAAGTATTTCAGGATCCTCCCGGTGCAATGGAGTTCTTGCAGAGCGCTGAGATTATTTGGACTCAGGCTTGAGTTAGAAGAAGAGCGAAGCAACTTATGGGTTGCACCGGTGTGCCATGATGTTGATTTGTTGAATAAACATAAACATATAAAAGTTGTGCACTGTGGTACAGCAGTGACTTATTCTGTAAAGGGTGTTTGCTGCAAATTTGTTTGTGGTACAGAAAGAATCAACAACTTTATTTGTCTGTCATTGTAGCAGTGCTAGTCATTAGCTGCAATAGTCGCAATTACAACTTAACAGCGAGCGAGTCATCCCATAATTGCTCCCATAAAATGCCGTCCAGCCTCCAAAGTAAAAAGCTGACAGACAGTAGTCCTGGCAAAGCACGCACACACATTAATTACACAAAGAGCTGCCAAAAGTGCCAACACTGACAGTCTACCACTAGAACTGCAGTAATAATCAGCTATAAAAAATGGTTAACAGAATAACATCTTGAAAAGAAAGCATATTTTGGCCCTTTTCCATTAAAAAAGATCCTAATATTCCTGCATATTAAATGCATATTTCAAGGACAAATATAAAGTTAAAAACCAAAAACACAAGAACAACAAGCAGTAATGCATCATTTAATCTACAGAGAACAACAAATAATGTAAACTTGGACCCTTTTGTGTGGAAAGTGTTAATATCAACAATATAACAACAAATATTGACAAAATACATCTTATTCTTAATTGCCAGCACAACAAGACTGTCTGGGCACATTTTTGCCACAATAATGCCCAAATAATAATTAACTTTCATCATTCATAAAAAGTCATTCCATACCCTGCTACAGACTTGGAAATTGACTGAAGGATTCATTATTTAGGCCACAATATAATGACAAACTGATCAGTTCTCTTTCTTCTCAGCTGTTTGCTTTTCAGCAAAATCTCCAATACCTATTTTACATTTAGAGATCTGTCTCAAGCAAAGAGCTGAATCATCATCATCATAATGTGCCATGCTGTAAGTGTAGGCGGCCATCTTTCACTATCTCATCTGATCATTTGAATCAGGGATCAGGTCAGTGTCCTTGTCTTGCCCTATCCTTGTGGCGAAGCCATCCAAGTATTTATCTCTTTGTCTGCATCATGCTATCTCTTCATCAGTTTTTGCCATTTGTTACTAAGTTCTCAAGTCCAACCCTTCTCAGAACATACTTTTTAAAAACAACATACAATGATTGTTATAATCAGTTTTGGAACTGAATGCAACATCAGGAGAGGTCAAAATTTTGACCACTCCTGGTTTAACATGGCTCAGAAATTCTGTCTTCATATACAGTACTGACCCTCTGTACAAAAATGTGGAGGTAACATTTTGGGGGAAATGACACAATAAAGACAACATTTATAAACTGGCCATCTTAAAACATACTTTTGGGATGTAAGATAACAACAATATATAAAGTAGTTTGTTCATTTACATAAGCCGCTCAAAAAGTTTACTTGTTATCTATGTTTCTTCTACTCATCAAGATTCTTAGCTGCACTTTGTATTTTTCCATTCACTCTTTATATCAACTGAACAGCAATCAACTTCCTCCTTAGCCATTTTCATGAGTCTTACTTGTCTACTATGTGCAGTACAAAATCGGATGCCTTTATATTTGAGTGACTAGTGGTCCTCTCTCACCTGCATACAAACAATGGTTCTAGAGAAGCATGTCTTGATTTAAAAAAAAAACAATTGTTATGGCATGGGGTTTAGCGTTGGGAGCACAAATTCTTGAGTTGGTAACATCAATAATAACAAAATCTTAATGCTAAAAAGACCATGTATCAAAATCTGGAACGAAATTACTGAAAACTAAACAAGAAGATGATTTTTCTTGCAGTAAAAAGAAGTCTTCTTGCCTGACTTGATAAGAACCAACATAATTAAAAAAAAACTGTTCCCTTTATTAAAAAAAACACACAATCAGATTAGAATATTTGATATCATTCATCGTTACTCTTCGTGAATACATTTTTGTTTCTTTGGTGAACATGGGCAAGCTGGCACTTCTGCTTAAAAAAAAAATGTGATAAAAAAACAAAGTGCAATTTCTTTCATTAAAAAAATTATCTACGGAGCCGAACTTATATAATTTGCTTATATTATAAAATTTACTTTGTTGAGCGCATTTTCATTCATAAAAAAAAATAATAATCCACAGAGTTGAACTTATATAATTTGCTTATATTATAAACTTTACTTTGTTGTAAATTCGTTGTTTTGATGGAAGATCTTATCTGCTATTCAGTGTATCCATTTCATCCTCATCCATTTCCATGGTAGGAGCCAAAGCTTTCCCATTTGGCTTCAGTTCCCGAGTCCTTTTGTCGCTGGGTTTTACCGCATGCGGGTTGTCCCTGTACAAGGCCCATAAACTGTTCACTATGTCAGTCACAACTAGCTCTGACGAGTTCTTGGCGATAACTCTTAAAATAAACACGCCGTCGTCTCGCAGGTATTCATCTGCAAACTTCCTGGCAAATTTTGAATCTTTTTCATTCCTGATGTTGTCACCGATTTTCAAGTATTTTTTCACATAACGGTAACGATTGTAGCCAATCAGCACTTGATATAACCAAGAGAGGTAACTCACAGTTGCTATAACAGCAACGAGAAAGTACCAAAACCACAAGAAGATAAATATCTTCTCATTAAAAAGATTAATCGGCAGGACGCATTGAACAGTGTAGCGTTGAAGGTTCTGCAGTTGACGTATTTCAAAGTCACATAATGTAATCCTAGGGAATCGTGGTGAACTTGTGAACTCTCCTTCTTTTACTAGCTTGTACAATACTTCATATCCAAACCAGGAAAAATCCATAGACAGGAAGTTGTTTAAAATAAAAAACTGGCCAATCACATTCGTGGCATACATGGCCTTGATGAAGAGATAAAAGCCTGTCAAAAATTTTCCTTCTCTTTTAGCGAACCAAAAGCAGAAGACATTTGAAAATCTTTGCCGCAGCCTCACCATGAGGTTATAATGGTACTGTCGATGAGCTTTTAGCCATCTGTCCAGGTACTTGGCAACCTGATACGTGATTTTCTCTCTGTCTTCTGGTTTGCCAAGTTGGGTGCTTTCTGCTAGTTGAACTAATCGGTCCATGTTTAGTCCTCCAGTGCTATTAAGCATTCTCCATATTAGGTTCGGAATCTGAAATAGTGAAATAAATTATAATATCAGTATGATCATTAAATATAAATGAATCAACAATCAATAAGTGACGGATCACGGTTTACAGAAGTTTCTTCTTCAACAAAAGTTACTTTTCCGTTTTTTTTTTTAAACTGATGCTGAATTGAGCTTTGAGCCATGTGTTGTTTAAAAACATCACACAAGAGATTTTAACCCCTGATATCAAGAGCAACAAATTAGTGCATAAGCCATTACATCAGCACAATAACTAAATGAAAATTAGAAATGTAGAGATGGCATCTTCCGTCTTTCCATATGACAGTATTATTTTGTGTTATATAGAGGTATGGGAATGACATCCCTGGCAATTTATAAAGTTCTTCCGCTCTTTAGTGCAAATCTTGGGCTGTACTGTTGAGACCATGTGTTGCCCATGCAGCATGATCTCTCAGTCTATCTTATTTACTTTAAAGGAAATGTAACACCAATATATTTGGGGGGGGGGGGGGGGGGGAAGGGGAAAGCATGGTGCAGAAGCTGCCGGATCAGAAGAGCCTTACTGTGTCTATCTGTCCGAGCCTCCCTTTTAGACCAAATGCCAGTTAAGGCTAAGGGCCTGGTCTACCCTACAGTAACATTAAATCCTCCTAAATGTCACTTCTCCAACATGTCTGTAGTGACCTACTTGCCAGAGGCATAGTTAATGTTATCAGCTGCTTTATTACTTGTGCAAACATTTATGAAGTCAGGATATGAATACATTAACTAAAATAGCATTCAGATAGTTTTTCCATTGGGGCAAATGGCTTTTTTTTATACTGCTAAGCTGACCTCAAATTTTTCCATACACCTTAATGATAGAGGTCAGGGGGCACAACATGAGTTACCCGATACTTGTGTTTTCTAGGCCATGGGGACTGTAATCCAAATATTGTTCCACCCTTGTTAGTGTTTACTAATTGTTGTCTTCATATCATAATCATCAAGTGCCTTGCCAGCTGACGTAGGGGTTCATGCATCTCCACAGATCGCAGTCTTTGGTGTTCTGGGTCAATTCCACTGATGATGTCCTCCATGCCACTTTCTTAAGCCATCTACAATCATTTCTCTTGTTCTGCCTTTGCCTCTTCTACCAGTGATCTTTCTCATCAAGTGACCAAAGAACTTTGTCTTGTCTCTTTCTCATTGTCTGTCTTCACATATCATTAAATATATGAAGAAAAAATTTGGACAAATGTATTTTTAATAAACTGATTTGGGCCTGTGTAAAACATGTTTTACTGATGATTTTGTTGTGGAATTCGAAGAGTCAAGATTCATTTTTCAAGTGTTCCTCAGGCAAGAGGGTTAATGTTGCTTGTTCTTATCCTAGGATAAACAGAAATAGCAAACAAGACAAAACAGCAGACAATTAATACCTTAAACATGAGTGCCTGGAAAAGGAAAATGATTGGCACCCATTGGTAGTAGCTGATCTCTTTGTCCTCTCTCTCTGCAATATTTCTGGGTATCACCTCATCAGTTGGAATGTAGTACGTGTTACTAATCCAACATACACTTTTGGTGTATCCAACATACGCACCTGAAAGTAAGGGATTCAACATTTACTAGTGTTATATACATTATTATATAATATAGGCATCTGAAAGTAAAAGATTCAACATTCACTTATGTTATATACAAGACAGGCCCCTGAAAGTAAAAGATTCAACATTCACTTGTATTATATACAAGACAGGCCCCTGAAAGTAAAAGATTCAACATTCACTTGTGTTATATACAAGACAGGCCCATGAAAGTAAAAGATTCAACATTCACTTGTGTTATATACAAGACAGGCCCCTGAAAGTAAAAGATTCAACATTCATTAGTGTTAAATACAGCATAGGCATCTGAATGTAAAGTATTCAACATTCACTAGTGTTATATCCAACACACAGACCTAAAAGCAGAAGACTCAACATTCACTATTGTTGTCTACAACATAGGCATTAGCAAGTTATAAAAACAAATCCAATAAACACTATTGTTACTTCCAACACAGGCAACTGTAACCCATCAGCCAGCTGCCTTTCTCTACAATCAGGGTTTGCTGCAAAGGATCTTCAACAATTTAGGTCTCTGTTTCTGGTTGTACACTCTCTCTCTCTCTCTGACTGCTGTGTATCTATGTCTCGGTGTTATCCTCCCACCTGTATCATTACCTTCCTCTTGCTCGCTTGCCTTTACTTTTTCTCGCCATTATGGGGTTTTTATTAAAGTGTTATGTCGTTAAGAGGAGTGGTTTTGATGAACAGTTAAGAATGTGGGGGTCTCATGCAGGAGTCCTGGGTCTGATGGTAAGATGGTGGATTTTTTCTGTCATGATGCAAAAAATAAAATTGGAATCTGCACAATACATGACAACAGAACTAGTCATGCGACCCTAAATCCTCAGGCTGAAAATCCCTCTGCAAACACTGCACAAAGTGGCAAATACATTCTGTAATCAAAGTTAAGTTTTTAAATGATGTCTTTTGATATCTTCTTCTTATACTTCAGCCTTCCATACCTTTGAGGTGCATTGCTGCAAATATAAACCACCTTCATTCCTCTACCAGAAGGGCATAATGTTAGATGAGCCTGCCTGGTCAATTCTTAACCCTTTGAAAATAAAGTTGGTTCATTCATTCTGAGACTAATTTTCTCTGCCCAGTTGGTGACCCCCAAAGTATTTGTCCGTGTTCAAGGCTTAAATATCTGTTTCTTGATTTAAAAAAAATAAGGTTTTACACACACACACACAAAGTGAGGATGATGGTTGCATGTTTCAACCCCAACATAGCAAAAACATTTCACTTTCTCACTTTTATCTCCTTCGCCAGCTCTATTTTAATTCCTAGTCTCGTCCAAACTTCTGTATTTGACCTGTAATACAATTAGCTGTTGTTTAGCATTTGCCTTTGATAGACAGTTTTCGATTCTCCTCACGGCTCCTGTAGCACCAGTAGACAGTCTTTGATTCTCCTCATGGCTCCTGAAGCACCAGTAGACAGTCTTTGATTTTCCTCATGGCTCCTGTAGCACCAGTAGACAGTCTTCGATTCTCCTCATGGCTCCTGTAGCACCAGTAGACAGTCTTTGATTCTCCTCATGGCTCCTGTAGCACCAGTAGACAGTCTTTGATTCTCCTCATGGCTCCTGTAGCACCAGTAGACAGTCTTTGATTCTCCTCATGGCTCCTGTAGCACCAGTAGACAGTCTTTGATTCTCCTTACGGCTCCTGTAGCACCAGTAGACAGTCTTTGATTCTCCTCACGGCTCCTGTAGCACCAGTAGACAGTCTTTGATTCTCCTCACGGCTCCTTTAGCACCAGTAGACAGTCTTTGATTCTCCTCGCGGCTCCTGAAGCACCAGTAGACAGTCTTTGATTCTCCTCATGGCTCCTGTAGCACCAGTAGACAGTCTTTGATTCTCCTCACGGCTCCTGTAGCACCAGTAGACAGTCTTTGATTTTCCTCACGGCTCCTGTAGCACCAGTAGACAGTCTTTGATTCTCCTCACGGCTCCTGTAGCACCAGTAGACAGTCTTTGATTCTCCTCACGGCTCCTGTAGCACCAGTAGACAGTCTTTGATTCTCCTCACGGCTCCTGTAGCACCAGTAGACAGTCTTTGATTCTCCTCACGGCTCCTGTAGCACCAGTAGATAGTCTTTGATTCTCCTCATGGCTCCTGTAGCACCAGTAGACAGTCTTTGATCTCCTCATGGCTCCTGTAGCACCAGTAGACAGTCTTTGATTCTCCTCATGGCTCCTGTAGCACCAGTAGACAGTCTTTGATTCTTCTCACGGCTCCTGTAGCACCAGTAGACAGTCTTTGATTCTCCTCATGGCTCCTGTAGCACCAGTAGACAGTCTTTGATTCTCCTCATGGCTCCTGTAGCACCAGTAGACAGTCTTTGATTCTCCTCACGGCTCCTGTAGCACCAGTAGACAGTCTTTGATTCTCCTCATGGCTCCTGTAGCACCAGTAGACAGTCTTTGATTTTCCTCATGGCTCCTGTAGCACCAGTAGACAGTCTTCGATTCTCCTTATGGCTCCTGTAGCACCAGTAGACAGTCTTCGATTCTCCTCATGGCTCCTGTAGCACCAGTAGACAGTCTTTGATTCTCCTCATGGCTCCTGTAGCACCAGTAGACAGTCTTTGATTCTCCTCATGGCTCCTGTAGCACCAGTAGACAGTCTTTGATTCTCCTCATGGCTCCTGTAGCACCAGTAGACAGTCTTTGATTCTCCTTACGGCTCCTGTAGCACCAGTAGACAGTCTTTGATTCTCCTCACGGCTCCTGTAGCACCAGTAGACAGTCTTTGATTCTCCTCACGGCTCCTGTAGCACCAGTAGACAGTCTTTGATTCTCCTCACGGCTCCTGTAGCACCAGTAGACAGTCTTTGATTCTCCTCACGGCTCCTTTAGCACCAGTTGACAGTCTTTGATTCTCCTCACGGCTCCTGTAGCACCAGTAGACAGTCTTTGATTCTCCTCACGGCTCCTGTAGCACCAGTAGACAGTCTTTGATTCTCCTCATGGCTCCTGTAGCACCAGTAGACAGTCTTCGATTCTCCTCATGGCTCCTGTAGCACCAGTAGACAGTCTTTGATTTTCCTCATGGCTCCTGTAGCACCAGTAGATAGTCTTTGATTCTCCTCATGGCTCCTGTAGCACCAGTAGACAGTCTTTGATTCTCCTCATGGCTCCTGTAGCACCAGTAGACAGTCTTTGATTCTCCTCATGGCTCCTGTAGCACCAGTAGACAGTCTTTGATTCTCCTCATGGCTCCTGTAGCACCAGTAGATAGTCTTTGATTCTCCTCATGGCTCCTGTAGCACCAGTAGACAGTCTTTGATTCTCCTCATTGCTCCTGTAGCACCAGTAGATAGTCTTTGATTCTCCTCATGGCTCCTGTAGCACCAGTAGATAGTCTTTGATTCTCCTCATGGCTCCTGTAGCACCAGTAGACAGTCTTTGATTCTCCTCATGGCTCCTGTAGCACCAGTAGACAGTCTTTGATTTTCCTCATGGCTCCTGTAGCACCAGTAGACAGTCTTTGATTCTCCTCATGGCTCCATTAGCACCAGTAGACAGTCTTTGATTCTCCTCACGGCTCCATTAGCACCAGTAGACAGTCTTTGATTCTCCTCACGGCTCCATTAGCACCAGTAGACAGTCTTTGATTCTCCTCATGGCTCCATTAGCACCAGTAGACAGTCTTTGATTCTCCTCATGGCTCCATTAGCACCAGTAGACAGTCTTTGATTCTCCTCATGGCTCCATTAGCACCAGTAGACAGTCTTTGATTCTCCTCATGGCTCCTGTAGCACCAGTAGACAGTCTTTGATTCTCCTCATGGCTCCTGTAGCACCAGTAGACAGTCTTTGATTCTCCTCACGGCTCCTGTAGCACCAGTAGACAGTCTTTGATTCTCCTCATGGCTCCTGTAGCACCAGTAGACAGTCTTTGATTCTCCTCATGGCTCCTGTAGCACCAGTAGACAGTCTTTGATTCTCCTCACGGCTCCTGTAGCACCAGTAGACAGTCTTTGATTCTCCTCACGGCTCCTGTAGCACCAGTAGACAGTCTTTGATTCTCCTCACGGCTCCTGTAGCACCAGTAGACAGTCTTTGATTCTCCTCATGGCTCCTGTAGCACCAGTAGACAGTCTTTGATTCTCCTCATGGCTCCTGTAGCACCAGTAGACAGTCTTTGATTCTCCTCACGGCTCCTGTAGCACCAGTAGACAGTCTTTGATTCTCCTCACGGCTCCTGTAGCACCAGTAGACAGTCTTTGATTCTCCTCACGGCTCCTGTAGCACCAGTAGACAGTCTTTGATTCTCCTCACGGCTCCTGTAGCACCGGTAGACAGTCTTTGATTCTCCTCACGGCTCCTGCAGCACCAGTAGACAGTCTTTGATTCTCCTCATGGCTCCTGTAGCACCAGTAGACAGTCTTTGATTCTCCTCACGGCTCCTGTAGCACCAGTAGACAGTCTTTGATTCTCCTCATGGCTCCTGTAGCACCAGTAGACAGTCTTTGATTCTCCTCATGGCTCCTGTAGCACCAGTAGACAGTCTTTGATTCTCCTCACGGCTCCTGTAGCACCAGTTGACAGTCTTTGATTCTCCTCATGGCTCCTGTAGCACCAGTAGACAGTCTTTGATTCTCCTCATGGCTCCTGTAGCACCAGTAGACAGTCTTTGATTCTCCTCACGGCTCCTGTAGCACCAGTAGACAGTCTTTGATTCTCCTCATGGCTCCTGTAGCACCAGTAGACAGTCTTTGATTCTCCTCACGGCTCCTGTAGCACCAGTAGACAGTCTTTGATTCTCCTCACGGCTCCTTTAGCACCAGTTGACAGTCTTTGATTCTACTCACGGCTCCTGTAGCACCAGTAGACAGTCTTTGATTCTCCTCACGGCTCCTGTAGCACCAGTAGACAGTCTTTGATTCTCCTCATGGCTCCTGTAGCACCAGTAGACAGTCTTCGATTCTCCTCATGGCTCCTGTAGCACCAGTAGACAGTCTTTGATTTTCCTCATGGCTCCTGTAGCACCAGTAGATAGTCTTTGATTCTCCTCATGGCTCCTGTAGCACCAGTAGACAGTCTTTGATTCTCCTCATGGCTCCTGTAGCACCAGTAGACAGTCTTTGATTCTCCTCATGGCTCCTGTAGCACCAGTAGACAGTCTTTGATTCTCCTCATGGCTCCTGTAGCACCAGTAGACAGTCTTTGATTCTCCTCATTGCTCCTGTAGCACCAGTAGATAGTCTTTGATTCTCCTCATGGCTCCTGTAGCACCAGTAGATAGTCTTTGATTCTCCTCATGGCTCCTGTAGCACCAGTAGACAGTCTTTGATTCTCCTCATGGCTCCTGTAGCACCAGTAGACAGTCTTTGATTTTCCTCATGGCTCCTGTAGCACCAGTAGACAGTCTTTGATTTTCCTCATGGCTCCTGTAGCACCAGTAGACAGTCTTTGATTCTCCTCATGGCTCCATTAGCACCAGTAGACAGTCTTTGATTCTCCTCACGGCTCCTGTAGCACCAGTAGACAGTCTTTGATTCTCCTCATGGCTCCATTAGCACCAGTAGACAGTCTTTGATTCTCCTCATGGCTCCATTAGCACCAGTAGACAGTCTTTGATTCTCCTCATGGCTCCATTAGCACCAGTAGACAGTCTTTGATTCTCCTCATGGCTCCTGTAGCACCAGTAGACAGTCTTTGATTCTCCTTATGGCTCCTGTAGCACCAGTAGACAGTCTTTGATTCTCCTCACGGCTCCTGTAGCACCAGTAGACAGTCTTTGATTCTCCTCATGGCTCCTGTAGCACCAGTAGAAGTCTTTGATTCTCCTCACGGCTCCTGTAGCACCAGTAGACAGTCTTTGATTCTCCTCACGGCTCCTGTAGCACCAGTAGACAGTCTTTGATTCTCCTCACGGCTCCTTTAGCACCAGTAGACAGTCTTTGATTCTCCTCACGGCTCCTGTAGCACCAGTAGACAGTCTTTGATTCTCCTCACGGCTCCTGTAGCACCAGTAGACAGTCTTTGATTCTCCTCACGGCTCCTGTAGCACCAGTAGACAGTCTTTGATTCTCCTCACGGCTCCTGTAGCACCAGTAGACAGTCTTTGATTCTCCTCATAGCTCCTGTAGCACCAGTAGACAGTCTTTGATTCTCCTTATGGCTCCTGTAGCTCCAGAGATCTTTGCTTCTCACAAAAATAAAAATTTAGAAATATGTTCTAATTTTTCCACCTTTTCAGACAACAGTGTCATACTGTGTTGTAGGGAGGCATGGGAAGCACAGCTCATGGTGACGGTTGGGGTCCTACCCAGTTTAGGCCAGGGATGAAGTTCTTCCTTCTCCTAGTCAAACGCCTGGGCCGTATTGTAGAGACCCTATGTTTCTCAGGCAGCATTATCCTTCCATCGGCCAGTTTTGTTTACTCCGCACACAAAAATGGTCACGGGGAAAAAAGCACACTGTAGAAGCTGCCGGATCAGAAGAGCAGTGCTGTGTGTGTCTGCCCCTAGGAGCTCTTCTTCTAGACCAAGTGCCAACCAAGGTAGAATGTGAAGAATCAATCTACCAGTGAATTTTGCCCCTGATGAAAATAAAAGTACAGAAATCTACAACAGGAAGCAACCTACCAGTGAACTGTGCTGGACACCAGCAATGTATAGGATCTCCCACATACTGTACTGAACTGACCAGAAGTGTGAACATTGCTAGGACACCAACTGTCCACAGGTGACTGACCCTGTCTGCCCAGTCATCATCCCTGCTGCCTTGGATTCTTGACCAACTGGCAAAACTGTACAGGGACATCTTTCTGTTGGTAGAAGAAAAGAGAATAAAAGTTTCTTTTTTCTTCTTTTAATGCTGACATCTTGTTTTTCTTCACTTCCTTTTTTTACTACTTCAGGTTTTAAAAGAGATATAATGTTTGATTCTTGCTCTTGTGGCCGCCTTGACTTAACCCTTTGTACTGTTGTAGAGTTTCTATGATATTATCTTTCCATGTTGTTCTTGGTCTAACTCGTCTCTTCATCCCTCTCCTCTTTAAGTATATACCTTTTATGGTATGGCATCACAGGGCATTGTCTCAGCGTCTGCTGTCTTGGTAAGTGGTTTAGTATTGGCTTTATGCCAACTTTTTCACTTCTGACTTCATTTCAGATATTGTCGACTTACAGAAAACAAACAGATTGAGGAAGTAAGCACGTACAAGAGAAACCCTCTCACAAAACATTAATCAGGCTGCATAATACCAAAATGATTGTATAAGATAAATGTAATGGTGTTATCCTTCAGAGTTAACAAAGCAGGCAGAGATAGGAATCACACTGCATGGGCAACAGATCTCTACTGCAAAGCTTTGTGCCACAGAGAAGAGGAACTTCATTTCTGGCTTTAATTTCTATTTTCATAGCCACCTCTAGTACAATCCGATATTACTGTCTGGAAGAATGGAAAATTGCCAATAGCAATATTGTACAAGACGGGATGAACCAAAACAATCAGCTGCAAGCCCTTTGTGATGTATACATGGCACAAGAGGATGATGATTACAATGCTACAGAGGCTGACAAAGTCATTACACAATTAGGAGCTAAATAGTGAAAGCTGTTTGTTTGATGCTCTTAATGTGACAGGTTTTATTTTTTAATGCATTGTTCGGTTATCAACTGAGTTCTTTAGAGATCATCACTGGAGCTATGGTGTTCAAGCTTTGTATGATGCTCTTGGCAGGCAGCATACCCCTCTGCAAAAGACACTGGGCCTCTTGGGATTTTAAGACCTGCCATTCTATTTAAATTCTGAGTTAAAAGAAACTATCCCATGAAGAACAATGTCCTTTCTGTACAATGACATTAATGTAATGTAGAAGGAGCAGAGGAGATACATGAGAACTTGCTGTAGTGGGTTCCTTAAATGCAATGCTAATACAACAGGACATCACTATGTAGTGGCAGCAGAAACGAGAGTAAGAAGGAGACGACAGAGGAAGAAACAGAAAGACGAGGAAGGAGAGGAGTAAGTAGTAAGTAGATTTTACCACACCAGGATGATCACCTTTAGGGAGGTCCCGGAGGCCCTGGGAACACCCCCCCCCCCCGGCAACAACCAGGGTGTTGCTTCAAAATAATGGGGACGACTTATATGATGATAGGAAGGAGAAGAAGGAAGTTTAGACAGCAGAAGGATGAAGATGAAAAGAGTGGGAATTTAAAAAAAGCAGCAACAGGATTTAAAAAAAAAAGGAAACAAAGAAAAAGAAACAAAGAAAAGGCCCAGAAGAAGGTAGTCACTATAATAACACTATTCTTGCTCAACATGAGAGCACTCAACCACTTTCCTGGTTGTAAGTGAATTATGCCAACCACGTTTACATTGATGACGCCCCTTTGTATCGTGTTACGTCCCCTCTGTCTGTTGTGAGGTGAGCAACTGCCGTACATTATTAACGTAAATAACATATAATGTAACACTCTTTTGGAGTCTGGTGCATCCATTTTACACGTATGTCAATTCAAACAGTTTTGAACGGGACAGCATTTTTTTTTCTTCAAATAGTGGGTATTTACAAACTGAAAATTATCACGTGCAGTTTTCAAATGGACTTCTTGAGTTCGCCCCGTTGGCACGTTGTGGTTTTCAGTGAGGCTGTGACGCACGAGCTTCTCGATTTAACACCTCTGATTTCAGCAAATCTGTATTTACACGCCTTTTAGGAAATCATTTATTTCCTCCTTTTCTGTAGTTTTCACTTTCTTGTCTCCTTTGTTTCTATCTTTCTTCTTCCTTTCTGTCTATTATTCCACATTTTTACTCACAAGGAGAGTTTCATAGCAAATACTGCCGTCGATCTGTGAAGTGATGATTGGGTCATATCGTCTAGACTACAACATGCGAGTTGGGATGGCTAGTTTCCTATCTCGCCGCCTATTTCCTTCACCGATTCCTTCACGGGCAGTTCTGGACAAGGCAGAGTACAAATATTTATGTAAAGGTTTCGACTTAATATAATTTTTGCCCAGGCATCTTATAAATACGGTTCATACATTATAATATTGAATACGGGAGCCCAGTGGTCTAGGGTTTAAATCGGCATCGAGGCCTTGGCCTCAGGTTGAAACCCACTGGTATAGAGGAATTCCAGCCTAACCGCACATACACCCGGTATTCCCGCCTAACTGCACATACACACCCGGAATTCCCGCCTAACTGCATATACACACCCGGAATTCCCGCCTAAGTGCATGCACACCCAGAATTCCCGCCTAACTGCACGCACACCCAGAATTGCCGCCTAACTGCACACACACACCCGGAATTCCCGCCTAACTGCACACACACCCGGAATTCCCGCCTAACTGCACACACACACCCGGAATTCCCGCCTAACTGCACACACACACACACACACCCGGAATTCCCGCCTAACTGCACACACACACACACATCCGGAATTCAGTCTGATCCATGCCTACTTCATCCTGCTAAATAAAGACTTTCTCCCTAACAGCCTTCGCCAAATAATTAGGAGACTCATGTGTGAGCCAATATGGTCGTCTACTTGGTGGTGGGCTGAAGATCATTTTAAAGGAGCAGGTTCGAATCTCAGTGATATGTCGAATCTTAGTTTATACTACAATTCTTTACTGTTAGTGTTTCTGTGTTATTTATTTTCTCTACTTCTGTTAGCGCCAGTCTATCAATATATGTTTGTCTCTCCTGACAATTTACATTGGCCTATTGCATGCTGGGATAGCCGACGAGAAAGAATAAGGAAATACGTTTCGTCTTTTATCTTCATAACATGGCGACGGAATCCTGACAGTTTCCTCGTCTTCTATTGTTTTTGTGTGTGTGTGTGTGTGTGTGTGTGTGTGTGTGTGTGTGTGTGTGTGTGGTATTTTTGTATGTCTTCTTTTTTTTCCTTTTCCTCAGTTTTACTTTTCTTAGTTTGTTGTTGTGTTTTTTTATATATATATTTGTCCTACCTCTTCTGTCTTTCCCTTGTGGTGGGTTAGGGGGGGGGGAGAGAAAAAGGGGTATAACGACACACAAAAAGGATGATGATGATGATGAAACTATCTTCATGTCCATTTTCCCGTCCTTCACTTCTATGAGTGTTAATCACGATTTTTGGATTTATTTCTACAAGATTCTACTGGCATTCCTAAACTTGTTTTGTTCGTTATCCATCTTATCATCATCATGTAGCAGGTCCTTTGCAGAAAGTCGCTCTCATCATGGTCTGCCTGAAAGAAACTCGGTCTCTCGCCAGCTCTCCCGCCTCATGTACTTTCATACTCAAGGAGTCACTTATATCCTGTGCCCATCTTCGTGTCGGTCGGCCCCTGCCCCTGCTTCATGGTACCATGCCTTCTGCTATAATTTTTTTTTCCAATCGTCGTGGCGCTTGATAGACCAAAATATTTCACCTTCCGAGAAAGGATGCTGTTTATTAGCCAATCTTCCTTGATGTTCAGATCTTTTAAGATATCAATATTTCTCCTCTTCTTTGTCCAGAACCAGTGAATGACCAGGCAGGAGATCAAGTGAATGACCAGGCAGAAGAACAAGTGAATGACAAGGCAGAAGAACAAGTGAATGACCAGGCAGAAGAACAAGTGAATGATCAGACAGAAGATCAAGTGAATGACCTGGCAGAAGAACAAGTGAATGATCAGGAGGGAGAACTTGAAAGACCAGGGGGTGATAACCGGTGAATTTCCAGGCAGGAGAACTGGTGAATGACCAGGAAAGAGAACAAGCGAATGACACTAACGAATGAGCAGGAGGGGAACTAACGAACAACCAAGCAAGGGAACTGACGAATGATCAGACGAGAACTAGCGAATGATCAAGAGGGGAACGAGTGACCAGTCAAGGGAACTAGCGAATGATAAGCCAGGAGAACTAAAGGATGCCCCAGCCAAAGAAGCTGATGACTGAGAGAAAAAAAAAAAAACGAGAGAACTGATAAAAGACGAGGCGAGACGGTGATGAGAGTGACGTCATACACCAGACCTGCGACAGAACGATGACAGCCGCCATGATGACCCCATAACCTCCACGACTTTTATCTTGTTTCCCGCGCGTACAGTCCGAGTGTACGTACGTCACAAAACATCCACAGACGTATTATGTAGGTTCACAGAAGCTGGTTATTAACTGACTCGCACGTAATTCTCTAAATGTATTTTTAGTAGAAGTAGTACATTTTACCCAACTAGGACATCACATAAGCGATAAAACTCGATGACACAAAGTGCCACCATGCGGATGAGGATCACCCGTGGAGAGGTCCCAGAAACAGCGTTCAGCCATTAGATAATATTTATAGCCGGGCTATATTGCGGTCCCTGGCAAGAGCCACGGTGGGGCTTCAAAATAACAAAAAATTGCATCACAAGGGGAGGAATAGGTAGTATAGTATGATAAATATATTATTATAATTATAAACATGTGGCAATGAAAAATGATGCAGGAATAATGCCGGGTTTCGAAATAACAATAGATTTCATCAAACATTTATTTAATCACACTTTATGGCATGTTTGATAAAGGGAAATTAGTCTATTAACACCCCCCCCCCCCCCACACCCCAGCCTTTTTTATGTAGAACCCACATGGGAAAATAACAGCTTATCTATGGTGGGGTGGCTAATGTTACACTGAGAGGCGGGCATTTCTAAGGGAGACCACTAGTACTTTCTTATTGTGTTCAGTCGAGCAGGCTGGAGTGTAACAGAGTTCAGCGGAAAATGCACATCTCTACAGAAATTCTGTCGAGTTGGCTAAAAACTACACGAATT